TGTAGAATAAACACATTTGCCCAGATTTGGTCGATTAGGGGAATATTTGCCATCCATAAGGGATGCTGGCTTTGCAGAAGGTCAGCTGTGATTCCCTTGCCCATCCCTCTCTGCAGGACTGTGTGTGCTCAAAGGTTCCTTTATGCTGGGATTCAGACACCAGTCAGCAATGCAGCTGTTTTAGGTGACTCTTTATAGCACTGGGAATTTAGTGCAGACCAAAGCTCATGCAATAATAATAATTGATTTCAGAGGTCCCAGCGTTGTCAGAAGTTCCCATGGGTTATTTATTAAACCCAAAAAGGTCAGACTCTGTCCATGGATCTGCAATACTCATAGTGCTTTGTTTATTGATCAATAATTTCATGTCTGGTATACTTAAAATTATGTTACCTCACCACAGATTTTTAGCCAGTAAGCTCTGTCAGATTTATCTTAATATCCATTAATATTTTTTACAATTAGCTATGTTTTGCTGGTAGAAAAGAGCTACTGCAGAGGTGACTGGATAGGTGAGGAGGTAATAAAACACACTCCTTCGTGTGCTGTAATTGGGTGTCAGCGCAAATGAGATTATTTAGTTTATTTAGTAATTGCAAAATTTATTTTAGATGCCTGTGACATTTAAACTGTCCATTTATACACCATAACCATTCTATTCTGATAATTGTAATATCAATCTGTTTGCTGCTTTTAAAAGGCTAGAGGCTAATGAGAAGCTTATTTGGAAAAAAGCATTTAATTTCTCTGTAAACTGCTGGCTCCTAAGTCTCTCCTCTTTCCTCTCTCCCCCTAACCCATAATCTGAGACTAAAATCAAGTGGTGCCAGATATTAACTATCATAATCATTGCCACTGTCATTCCATTGCATCAGGCACAAAGAGCATAGTAATTTTTGTTAAATCACCTTCCTGGTTTAGCTTCCACATTTTGTTAGTGTTTTTCTTATAGCAAAATGTATAATTGAGTTGATGATTTTCATCTCTTAGAGAAAAATATCATTAACCTGGTGAACTAGGGCAGCTGTGTCACAGAAAGGATCTGAGATGGCAAGATGACAGATCATAAGAACGACTTCAGAAGGGAGATAGATAATAAAAATACAACTGCCTTGTCTGTGGCCATTTCCTTTTGCTGCATCCACGCCATGAGGAGTTTACTGCACTTGTGGAGGGCACAAAGAATTCCTGAAATAATTCTGCCTTTCCTGTGTCTTTCCTTTTGGAGAAATATTGGCAGCAAAAGGAAGATTTATTTTTAGATTTCAAATACCTTTCTTTAGAGGTTGTGTTGCCTTGAGGCCCTTGATGTATCTGTGTGCTCATACTCTGCATACCTTTGAAAGTCATACCCAAATTCTAATAACTTTATATTCCATAGACTACTTTGACTTGTTTTCTTGACCAGTCCTTTTTTTTACCAACTCCCCACAACTATAAAAACTTTCAACTGATTAATCTCTCTTGGATTTTTTTTGTACTTTAATTCTACAGATCTGATAACAATAGATCCTCATCTAAGTGGAGCTGGTAAATCCAAATCAGATGTTGAGTGTGTGTGTGTGTAATACAGTATTTTGTTCTTTGCCAAGGAGAAACAAGAAAAAGCATTTAATAATAACAATAATTTATGCCCAAAGTCATTCTGTGATTAAAGTTTTCAGAAACCTACAGTCTAGATCTACTTTTGCTCATGAAGAAGCAAGAGTTTCACCAGCTCTAAAGGGCTGTACTCGTAGTGCTTTGGGACGTGGTTTAGTGATGGAACTGCAGTGCTGAGCTAATGATCCTAGAGGGCTTTTGCAGCCTTAGTAATGTTATGAGTCTGCTCTTGCTGCCTGCTTTTTGTGCAAGTTTCTATCCCTTCTCTTTCTTTTCAGGTTGCTTTATGTAATCCCCTCCTTTCGTACCATTCCTCCAGTGCAGGTCACTCTGCAACGCTGCATCACAACCTGTGGAGGTGCTGAGCAGAGTTCTACTGACTCTTCCAGTGCTGATTTAGATGCAGTAGGGTTAGAAAAGACTCTTTAAACTCCAACTGGCAATACATCAGGTGCTTTGATGTTGTGCCCTAACAAAAGGGAGGGTTTTACTGCTCCCCTAACCCACAGTCATACGTGGCAGTGTTGTAACTGTGCAAAATGCATTTTCCCCCTGCTACAAAGCCACTTCAGAAAGCACATCAGACCTGTGGTGAGAAAGGAGGTGGGGAAGATTTGACCTTGCTGCCAACTTTTTACCTCCCAGAGAGCAAGGATTGCTCTGAAGTGTTTCTTCCCAGTTTAATAATTTCTCCCTATCCCTAAAAGCTTGCAGTAGCTCGTTTGCACTTCACTCCTCCTTCGTTTTGTTTGTTTTTTGGCGCCCCAAAGTAGGCAGGCAAAGAGAAAATATAAAATATTAGCAGTCAGGTTCTAAGAGCAAATCTCTTGTTCTTAAACATAACAGAGAGCAGTGCATGTTTTGAGGCAATATAAACTACTTTTGGGAGTAGCCACAGTTAAACTATAACAGAAACCTTGGACTTGCCTTAGATTGGCAAAGCTGGCAACGCTGTTGGAGCAGAGCTCTGCTAATTTTGCAGGAATTCCTTTCATTGACAACGATTCCCTGCATTTCTGTGGCCAGAAGACAGACCCAGGAGAGCTGCTTGCCCTGCCTGTTATGCATGTACATGTTTAACTAATGGAATTGTTTTGTTTAGTTCAAATAGCTCCCCCTTAAATACTATATTAAATGCGTGGTCGTTTATAGACTGTGTGAAGACAATAATAAGATTTTGAAACTGGGCAAGTCAAAGCTCAGGTTGCCTGATAATTATAAATTTGTTTCCTTGGACCATATGCATATGGACTTAGTTTTTTAATTGCATTATTGAATTATTTTTTACAGTAGATTTTTGCCCATATGATTCATGGGGGTGACACTGAAACCAGCTGTGTGTTGAGATGAAAGAGTGTTGATGAGTCCTTATTTACAACTGTCCCTGTGGCTGGAAAGCAGACTGTAAATGAGACAGGGTATTTTAGCCAAGAGAAAGGATCATTAGGATCACCTCATGGTGAAAGCAGCTGCCCACTCTCATAAAGAATGCATTTGACTCCTGCCCATGCTGGAGTGAAAATTTCCTGTGAGATTCCTTTTTTCCTAGACGGTCACTACCCCTGAAAATCTAATTTCTGGATGCCTGAATTGGAGTTCTGAGGCCTGCTCTGCCAAAATGCAGTCACTCACAGCTCTGATTAGCATCAGTGAAAGCTATATTTGAAACACATACAGTGCCATGAAACCCACAGTTCTCTCCTGCTGTCCTGACAGAAAGTCAGGTGATGACCCAATAAAAACATTTCTAACCCAGGACTTGAATTTGGCAACACTCTGCACAAGGTTTAAGTGGTGATCTTACCCTGAAACTTGGTAGTGTATTTTAATACAAGGCAGATCTGTCATCCCTGGTTACAAAATAATATTGAAAGGGGATGACAGCTTGCCTGAACTCAAGGAAATTCAGACAAACTGCACTGACTTCCCATCAGAATTCCGTACCTTTCTGATGGAAGGCGTGATTTTGCAGTAATTGCCTTTTGCTTTGCAGCAAGTGTAAAGTCAATCTGTAGAAGTTTTCAGCTGATGCCTTTTCAAACTGTATCTGCCTATCAAAATAATGATACTTAGAGGTGCCACTGAGTGTCTTTGCAATGGTGACTTTTCTGTGCTGTTTACGAGGCTTTGCAAACAGGAACAAATGGGCAGTCTTGATGTGCAGGTTGGTGTTGTTGTGCATAGTTAAGGGCTAAACTGAGCAGGTATGGAGGGATAAATCAAGACAGACAACTTATAAGGATGTTGCATTTTTATAGCATTTGTCATAATGAACATTGGATGGCAAGTTGATGCAAAAAAATATTCTTTTGACTTTGTGTCACCTGCAGTTTTAATTCATGGAAGTATCTATCCTGGATCTTTTCCAAGACAAATCCCAAGAACGCACAGATTTGTGTGTAGTTTTTAATGGTCTTTCATGCATTTGTGATTTGACAACTATGATATTTTAGTTTTTCCCACCAAAAGGCCAATCTGTTACGATTTTTGTCATTTCTTACCAGCTCAGTCCTTTACATTCAGCTCTCTGTGTCGGGTACCTGAGGTTCCTTGTGTTGCATGTACTTTGGCTCACTATAAATAAACCAATAACTGCTACATCTTGATAACCTCCATTAGCATAGCAAACCCATTTTATCTGTGGCTGAGTGTATGCATATATCAAAACTTCCAGTGTAAGAATCAGAACCATTTGAGTAAAATTGACATAATTGCTACAGTTTCAAAAAAAACTTAATGACACCTAATTAAACCTGAATCTAATGAATTGACTAAAATGTATCTAGAGCAGTGTCCTCATGCTACACCTTTGCTCTGTGAGAAGCTTTGTGTCTCTCAGTGGTTATTACTAACTTAAGGAAGGGTTTGAACTCATATATTTTTAAATTCTCTTTGTGTTTCCATTAGCTGCATTGTCTAATCTTGAAAAAAAATGGCTTTCTGTTTGCAGTCTGATGCCGTAACATGTTACCTCATTTCAAAAACATAAGTCATCATTGATGACAGTCTTCTCTCAGTATGTAAAAACACTCAAGAAGTGCTTGTGTAACAGAAACTTCTAAGCAGAGATAACTTTTGGAAATACTACTTGATCCTAAGGCTTAATTTTGTAATCTTTGAATAAATTGATAGGGCTGATCATGGAGGAGACCAAAGAAGTGTTCATGAGGGAAAGAGATTGACAGAGTGGAGACTAAGGAGGAATAAGACCACAGTAATCTTCGACACATTTTTCTCTGGAGTTGATGTGTAGCACGTTATATTCACTAAATCCAAATAAATTATTACTTTATATAGTAAAAGGATCTTGGAAAACTCTGAGCCTGATGTATTTAGTTATTAAAATCTCAGCCCATCATTTCTTAAAACTAACGTTTCATGTTTTCGTTCTGTCTCAGGTTCCCAGTCTGAACCTCCCTCGTGCAGTGCCAGTTCCATCACCTGCCCATCTGCCTGCACCTGCAGCAACAATGTAGTGGATTGTCGAGGAAGGGGCTTAACAGAAATCCCAGCTAACCTGCCAGAGGACATTTGGGAAATGTAAGTGCCAGTGTAATGCATTCTTTTCCATGGCTCTCCATTTTTATTCCATATCTGGGCCTCCTGTGTGGGAAAAAGGCACGTTTTGAAAACTGTTCTGTTGTCAGGTATGGTGTAGTTGTTCTCTTTGCTTTTGTTCTTTTCACCTAAGAGCTCAAACCTTTCTTTATTGTAATTTAGGATATTGTTTGATGTTGCCCTGCCTAAAAGCAAAATGAAGTTCTTGGTGTATTAAGTTCAGATTGTGTTTACATCTCACAAACCTGGAATTACAGTTCTGTAGTCAGTAAAAGAAAGCTTTTTTATTTCTAGATAGTGTTTTCCCCATGAGATAAAAGGATGTCTTGATAGCTTGGCAGAAAGCATTATAATGAATTAGGATATCAGAGCACATTGTCCCTGCTGATCTTACCTTCTATTTCTTGTCTTCCACATTTTGTTATTCCCAGTTCTTTAACAGTTTTGTGACTTGTGTGGTGAAATCAGATGCTAGTTTTACAGACTTATTTGTCTTACTGCCTTTAGGAATTGGTATCTTCTCTTTCTGTGTCCGTGACTTCGTACTACTGTGGTCCTGAAATACTGTTACATTAAAGCAGTTTGCTTTTGGTTAGTCCATAGGGAATGCAGATCAATTCTTTTCCTATTTAGGTGCTTGTCACACAGAGTTTTCTTGACATCCAGCCAGCTTTTATAGTCTACATTGTATGAACTCAAATATTTTTGTAGTCACTGGACTCATCCAGCTGTAGAAATACTGCTATGTGGCAAAATTCACTACAATAAAGAATAAGTTCATAGGATAATGGAATGTTAAGGAAGGGATCCTAAAGACCATCTCTTTCCCCCCTGCCATGGGCAGGGACACCTTCTACCAGCCCAGGTTGTTCCAAGCCCTGTCCAACCTGGCCTTGGACACTTCCAGGGATGGGGCAGCCACAGCTTCTCTGGGCAACCTGTGCCAGGGCCTGCCCACCCTCACAGGGAAGGATTTCTTCCCAGTATCCCATCTAACCCTGCCCTCTGGCAGTGGGAAGCCATTCCCCCTTGTCCTGTGGCTCCATCCCTTGTCCCAAGTCCCTCTCCAGCTCTTTTTGAGCCTCTTCAGGCACTGGAAGGGGCTCTCAGGTCTTCCCAGAGCCAGCTTGTTGCTGTTGGCAGTCCTGCTGAGGATGCACTTGATCCAACTGTCCATGTCAACAGAGATGTTATGTATCTGCTCTTCCCAATACCCAACCCCAAGGAACGTTGAATTCAACTGTTTCTTGTATTTCCCTTTAACTCAGTATTTCTTTATAAGCCAAATTGTGTCTGACAAGAACCCTTGACTGATAAACTGTTCTACAAGAGTGAAACACAGAGCTGTTGCTCTAACACAGTTATTAAAGGTGACCTACATTTCACTCTGTTTCAGTATTAATTAAAGATCTTTTATTCAGCCTTCCCACCGTTCTTCATTAGCATGGGTAGGCAGAAACTTCTCTGACAAAGCTGCCAACAAGTCCTAGAACTGTTTTTGTTGATAAAACCCTGTCACAAAACAGGTAATTCACTTGTCATGGGACATAAATCAAGCATCATATGACACTTAATTTTCCCTTCCTGCTGACCTTTGCCACATGCAACTTAGAAGTCTGTTGTGTTACTCTGTTACCCCTTTCCTCAAGGTGAAGATCTTCATTTCAAGAATGTTTACTCTGAAATAAAAAATTTAGGAAAGCCAGAAATCTCTATCCCAGACTTGTTTTTTCATAATTTCATAAAGTAGGTAGCAAGAATGTACAGAATGCAATTCATTTTTTCATAAAGCTTCTTGTTCAGTGGGGAGCTGACATCAGCAGCCAAATTGACTGAGGAAAAATGAGTTACAAGAAATTGAAGCTGAGGAATACAGACTGTGTGCTGAATGCTATGAAAGATTCTCTGCTTACAAAGTGGTTCTCTTGTGCTTTTCAGAGGAGAAATGAACAGTGCATGTTATAGAGAAACACATGAGAATACGCAGAGGAAAGTTTTGCATGAATACTTGGATGAAAACAAAAGTCATTAAGCACCTGGAGGCATATACTGACAAAGAAATACCAAAACAAATATGGCTTGGTGGTTTGCTGGAAATGAACAATTTCACTGTGTTGAAACAGCATCTACAATAAAAGGAGAAGTTGCATGTATTAAGAAAGGGTGCATGCAAGGCAAATGGGGAGCTTAGTGTGAATGCAGAATGGACTTGACCTTGCAGAGATACAGGGAAGGAGGGATGACCAACTAGGAGGAGACAGTCCCCAAGAAATCTGATTTTCTGCTCAGACTTCATTGCAGCCTTGCAGCCAGTGGCTGTCAGACTGAGTGACAGCTCAGCCCGTGGAGAGAGCAGAGCCAGGCTGGAGCAGAGACTTGTTAAACCCCAAGCTCCCAGCTGTGCCTGCAGGAGTCACTGCCCTGCAGCTCGTGGGAGCTGTTGAAGGATGTTGTGAGAAACAGGAGTGCCCCAAGGGTGGCTTTCCCTCAGTGTGTGGTTTGGGCCGCTGTTGGCTCAGGGCATGGGCTGGATGGGTCCAAGCTCTGGCACTGCTGGGTTGATGCCAGGGAAAGGACAGCTTTCCTGCATATCCAGGTGTGGGGCACTGTGGTGTTTCTAACAGTATTTCCTTCAACATCCTGCCTACCAAATCAGTTTGATGCCTCCTAGTACTGGAGAGAGATCAGTAACTCCCTAGTAATTGTTTCCCCTCTTGCCACACTTTCCCTCTGCCCCTTCTTTAGAATGAAGTTTTCGTGCTATTTATCTCTCTCAGACCAATCTACTCATTCTTTATTTATCACCTCAAGCAAGGCTGTATTTTAGGATATGAATTCTGAACAGCTTTTGTCTGAGAATTTTGTGCACTTTAAAACAATAGTGTGGGGACTACCACTCCTGCCTTTGTGCTTTAAGATTGTTAGTGCAGGACCCTCCTGATGGAAAACCCCCCAAAGCCTGGCCCTCCTGCTTCTGGCTGGTCTGGAGGGTGCTCCTGCTGAGGTGCCTGAAGGGGTCAGAGCAGCAACCACTGGCACTGGGCACTGCTTCTCTGAAGGCTTTTGACATTGTTTAAAAGGAGGATTGATTTAATTGCTAATGCTAAAGGCTGATTGTGATTGAGATGCTTGAAAGAACAAAAACGAGCAGGGCTAGTATGGAAACTGTTGGGAAAAGGCTGAATTCAAATAAGGAAACAACCAAATAAGTGGAGGAGAAGGATTGGGAACAAAGGAAACGAAGACAGGTTGAGCAAAGTGCTGTGAGTCTGAGAAGGTGAGGAATAGTTGGTGATCAGGCCTGAGATTGCTGTCAGTGAGTCTGGGGCACAGGCTGGGCTGTGGGGATACAGCAGGAGGGCTCTGGGATTGGGCAGGGTTTGGGGCCAGGACAGAGTGATGCAGGTAGAGATGGAGCCAAGGAGCCTCTTCCCACCAGAAAGCACATGGATCTTCCAGAGCCTTCCTGCTTTGTCACCAGGTACTTGGGAAACCCAACAACAATTTGTGTGTCTGTCCTTGTGCACAGTGACTACCTAGAGATTAACTATTAAACTCTACAGAGAGATTTCCTGCTTTCACTGCTGCTATTCCAGCTGGACAGCGCTGCACAGGTCTGGGTCTCATACTTCTATTACACCTAAGTTTCCTTGTGGTAGAATTAGTTATTTTGGCTTTTGGTTATTAATTAAATATTAAATTTTATTTTAATTCAATATATAATTTTTTAAAAGTAAAAGAAAAATTAGAAAATTACAAAATCAATGTTTTTAAATGCAGTCTTCATTCAGAGCTTTTTTATACATTTGTTGTGATATCCTCTCTAACAACAACATAGTCTCATGTTGCTGGTAAAGGCCTGGATTGATTCCTTGCTGTCTAGGGATGCATCTTGGATGTCTAGGGAGGGAACCTGTGCATATAGGGTCTGTTTACTTGTTGCAGAAACAGGAAAATTGTAAAATGGGGACTGGGGGGAAGATAATCTTATGAGTGCTGTTAGGAGAATTGTGTTGTCTCCTCTTGCCAGTGGTTTTATTAATTGATTCTGGGCAAGTGACTTGCACCAGCTTTTCCTGGGTGGTCGCTAGTGATGTAATCCTCGGGCTGTGGCTGACTCAGCTGAGACATTCGCTGGTGCTGAGGACTCACAGCTGCAGCAGGAGTCAATAGGAGCTGTGCTGTGAACACATTGTGCTGTGCAACGCTAATTACTCTGAAAAGCCAAGTCTCGATCATCTGCAGACTTACAAATCACACCCCACAGTCTGCAGTGTATCCTCAGACCTTGAAACTGATCTTAGATCAAACTTGGGCTTTTTCACATCAAATTTGTTTTATTACTGTTACTTAACCTGTACCATACTCCCTGTCTGGTGAGATTAAGAGGAATATAATTATATAAGGCAAGGGTAATGCTGGATAGGATGTGTCTGAATCAGACACGAGGACTGTTTGGTTAAGTGCTGATGTAATTGCTCCAGACAGAGTAAAGAGGCTGTCAGTCCCTCAAGGAAAAGTGCTGCTTAGGCACCGTGTCTGGTGAGATAACAACCACAGCTCCATCTGACAGCGGAGCAGAGTAACCCAGGATGGCAGCCTTCCCACCAGCACCTGGGTTTGGCTTAAGGTCAGTGTTAGTCACTTGTTCTGCCGTGGTTTAGTTTATCCTTCTCACTCTTGGTAGCTGAATTGGTGGCTGATATTTTTGTAGGTGTGAACATTGCGTGATTTTGGTGCATAATTCCTACACTTAGGGAAAAAAATCAGGAGTTTGAGCACACAGGAAGGATCTGTGTTGGTTTCCTACTGGTTCTGGCAAAAATGAGCACAAACCTCATTGTCTGCGAGGCAGTCACTTTGAAATGCGATGTTCTACTTATTCTAACTCTAATGACTGCTTTCCTGACAAATTTAATAGAGAATTGCTGTCATGGGGGTACCACTGTGCTGGGCAGTGTTTCGGACAGACCTGTAGGTAG